TCGCACCCACGTGGGCAACAGGGATTGTACCGGCAGCGGGAGAGAGAGAACAAAGCAAAAAGCCCTGCAAAGTTGACACCCCGACGTGCTAAAGATTGCAGTCCAGGAAAGAAAAGCCTCTCATCGCCCTTTTCCCTGGGCCCTTCTCTAACCTGGCGATCTTCATGATTTGGGGAGGGGGTGAGGGGGTGCGTGTGAAGGACTGCTACTTTTGACGAACTTTTCTCCAAGAGGTTCTCCCTTCTGCAACTCTGCGGCATGAGTTGGCTGCTTCCGCAAGTGCTGGCGGAATCAATGAAGCTCGCCCCATGGGGGCCAGTTCCTTAGGAATTTCCCCCTCTCCTCTTCACTCCCCAGACGGCTGAGGAGGCACTCAAAACTTTTTCCGCCTTATTTTGCTCTTTCGGCTTACCTTCCGCAGCAAAGTCAATATGACCAATCATGTCAGATTCCCACCACCCCCCCCCCCCACCTCCCGGGGACTGAGAGAGAGAGAGCGAAATGAGAGAGAGGGAACAAGGGCAAAGAAGTGATGCCAGCTTGGCCACGCCCACCCGCCCATATGACCACCAGGCCATTTTTATATTAAAAATTATATTATCTATCTATCTATCTATCTATACATACATATATATTTATATATAAAATTAATTTTTTAATATTTAATTTATATTTAATATAAAAATTAAAAATTTTATATTAAATATATTATCTTTTTTATTTATATTAGTGACTCTCCAATCTTTTCTGGAAAATCTCCAGCGATGGAGCACCCACAATTCCAGGAGACAAGCTGTTTCACTGATTGTTAATAATGATACAATAAAAATACTTATAATAATCAATAAAACACATGGTGGTTTTTTTTCTATATTTGTTACCATAATCGTTAATTGGGTGAAATTTGTATCATAGGACAATGATTTTTGAACTAACTCAAATGGACTGTCAGAATACCTCCAAAATCCATGACTCCCATGAATTGAAACTTGGCAAATTTTATAAAACCTTTATGACATAAAATTATCATAACTGTTTATGACATAATATAAAATGTCATTAAATGTTTCCTGTGCTGGTATGTGACTATGCTGCACAATTCAACATGGGTTATCTTCAAGGTATATATGTTTCTGAATATATGCCAACTTTTCTGGTGAAGACAGTACATTAGAAGTTGTTTTTTTGTGGAAGGCACTGAGAACTCTGGCAAGGAAACACCCCTGAAATAATGACCCAAGCAGTCACCAATTGTCTGGTTGCCACTAAATTTATCATCCATTTTTAGCATCTTCATATATTGTTGTTGCCCAATATAGATGCCTACTTTTTATTGGGGGGGGGGGGCTTAAGTGACTCAATTGGATTATAAATATGTCACTGGTATTCTTCAGAAAGAGTCTCTGGCCACAATAAGGCAGTATAACTGATATTGTAAGGAATGAGCAAACATAGCCTGTTCATAGTAGTCTGGGTATCTTGCTAGATTAATAGTTTTATATAAAGCAGTTAAATATTGTGCTTTACATAAAACTACTTTTGAAGATAATCTGGAAGCAATAACTGGTATAAAAGGTAGCCAAATTGCACTAAGGAATGTTTGCAGAGACTATTCAGCACTTATATTGTCGCAATTAGTTCCATGCTTTAATAGCAACTTTTAAAATACTAATGATGCTCAAACATTGGAGAATACTTAATAACTGGAGGGTCTAGAAAAGAAAATGGAGCCAATTCAGCACGAATGTAGAGGGGCCCTAGAGGCATAAAAGAAAATTTATCTAGATATTGTCATTTGCTTATCTATTAGATGCAAATACAATCAGTTTTGCAAGCAAGTTTCATCAGTCTTCAGTTAAAATACAGGTAATCCTCAATTTACAACTACAACTGAGCCTAAACTTTCTGTGGCTAAGTTAAGTGAATGTTGCCCCATTTTACGACCTCTCTTGCAATAGCTGTTAAGTGAATCCCTGCAGTATTAAGTTATAACAAGGTTAAGCAAATCTAGCTTCCCCATTAATTTTGCTTGTCAGGTCACAACAGGTGATCAGATGACCGAGGACATTACAACTTTCATAAGTATGAGTCAGTTGCCAGGTGTCCGAATTTTGATCATGAGGATGCTGCAACAGTCATAAGTGCGAAAAACAGTCTGAAGTAACTTTTTCCAATACCACTGTATCTTCAAATGATCACTAAATGAACTGTTGTAACTAGAGGACTACCTGTATGTTACTGAAAAAATGTTTCATTGTTAAGTGAGAGCAAGACCACTTAAAAGAAAACAACTGTACTCATTTTGCAAGGAATTAACTCCATCGAGCAAAATGTATTTTGTGGGATTGTACAGAAAAAGCTCGCCATAGAACATAGAACATCAGAGTTGGAAAGAGATTTGAGGCTTTCTAATTCAAGCCCCTGCTCAAGCAGGAGATTGTATACCATTTCAAACAAGGCTCTTCTAAAAAACTCCAGTTATGGAGCACCCACAACTTCTGAAGGCAAGTTGTTCCACTGGTTGATTGTTGTCATTGTCAGGAAATGTCTTAGTTCTAGATTGCTTCTTTCCTTGGTTAGTTTGCATTCATTGCTTCTTGTCTTGCCTTCGGATGCTTTGGAAAATAAATTGACCTCTCTTTTTTGTTGTAGCCTCTCAAAAATTGGAACAGTCCTATGTCATTCCTAGTCCTTTTTCTCACTAGACATACCCAATTCCTGCAACTGTTCTTCATGTTTATCCTCCAAGCCCTAATCATCTTTGTTCTTCTCTGCACTATTTTCAGAGTCGTAAGATCTTTTTTATGTTGCGGTCATCAAAATGAATGCTATATTCCAAGTGTGGTCTTACCAAAGTCTTATAAATAAAACACTTCATGTGATCTTCGTTCTATCCATCTGTTAATGCAGCCTAGGATTGACTCTTTTTTTGGTGGTGGCTGCATACTGCTGACTTATATTTATGTCATTGTCCACTAAAATTCCAAATCCCTCTGTTACTGCTATTGAACGAAGTTTCACCTAATCAGCACTTATACATTTAGTTTTTCTCGCCTTGCTTTTCTCTACATTTTGTTAGATAGGACACAGTGTTCCAATCTGTTGAGATCCTTCTGATCTTGAACCTATCTTCTGGGGTGTTGGCTATTCCTGCCAGGCTGGGGTCATTGGTAAATTTAATGAATTCCCTTTCGATTCCTTCATCTAAATTGTTTATGAAGATGTTGAAGAGTACTGGGCCTAAAACCAAACCCTGGGATATCCACTGCTTACTTCTCTCCATATAGATTGAGGATTACATATTGAGTGCGGTTTGTCAGCCAGTTAGAAATCCATGTGATGGCAGCTATCCCACATTTTTATAGCTTATCAAGAAGTAGGTTGTGGTCTATTTTGTCAAATGCTGGGCTAAAATCCAAGTACACTATATTTACAACATTTTGCTGGTCCATTAATTTAGTAACTTTGTCAAAGAATGAAATATGATTTGTTTGATATATGTTTTTGCAGAAACCTCTGTTGGCTTCTAGTTATAACTTTGCTTGTTTCTAGATTTTTGTAGATTTGTTGCTTATCTTTTCTAGACTCTTCTCAGGTATTGATATCAGAGTAATTAATTTATGGTTTCCTGGGTGTCCCCCCCCTCCTTTTTTGAAGATGGGAACCACATCTTTTCCAGTTCTCTGGTAGTTGCTTGGTTTTCCCAGAACTTTGAAAGATATGGTTCAATGGTTCTGAGATCATGGCTTCCAGCTCCTTCAGAATTCTGGGATATAATCCATCAGGACCTGATGGTTTGAATTGTCTAGAGTGGATAGGTGTTCTCTTACCATTTTATTGCTTAATTTAATTAGTATTCCTAGTCTGTCGTTTACAGTTCTGTTTCTGGTAGCTTGGCCTAGTTTTATTTTTGCGTGAAGACAAATGCAATACAGAATTAACCAGCTCTGCTTTCTCTCTGCTGCCTGTAACTTCCTTACCATTGTCTCCCATTAGTGGACTGATGGTTCCCTTGACTTTTTCTTGTGTTTTAATATGGTGAAAGAAACTTTTAAAAATTATTTTTGACATTTGTTGCAAGTCTTAGTTCATTCTTCTCTGTTAGTAAGAATTAGGTCCACTCCACCCCACAAAGGATTATGGGGTCGTTAAAAGAGGATGATGATAGCAATAGCACTTAAGAGTTATACCGCTTCACAGCCTTCTCTTAAGTGGTTTACAGAGTCAATATATTGTCCCCAACAATTTGGGCCCTCATTTTACCCACCTCAGAAGGATGGATGGCTGAGTCAACTATGAGATTTGAACTGCTAAATTGCCGGCAGTCAGCAGAAGTAGCTTGCAGTACTGCACTCTAACCACTGTGGCACTGTGGCTAATATAGTTTCCTTTCTAGTGCCCCTCTTTTGGATTACAAGTTGTCAGCAACTTTGTTATTAAGGAACCTGTTCCATCCCGCACTTGAGGCAGTTCATCTATCCAACCCAGACTTCTTCAATTCATTTAAAGACACAGCACAGGTGTCCCTCCCCACAAGATCCCCCACACAAGCGGTTGTGTCCTTTCTTGCTAAAAGTGACACTGTTTCCTAGCTAAATCACAATTAGCAGAGGCAGAATTTATTAATTTGCACAATAAATCGGATAAGTCGTATAGAACGTTCTAAGTATACAGCAAAAAGCTATTAAATCATGTATGCTCAAAGTGGCGGTAGTTTAAACACACGGAGAGGTTATGGCCAATATACCAACTAGCCTTTTAGATCGCCGACTTGAGCGAATGGTTTTCAGCTGCGTAAGAGCCGCAGGCGAACGCTCCATGCTACGCGAAGTCGCCCGCCAATTCATCCGAACAGTTCTGCGCCTTGCTTCACCGCACTTCCTCCGCCCCGCCCCTTTCCATTGTGACGAGAGGCATTCGACGCCAGCGACTAACGTGCGAAATAGTGGAGGGGAGAGCGGGAACTCACTCAGTCCCGCAGCATTTGTTGGCATACGGCGATGCGGCGCCGAGGATTGCGGAGAAGATGTGACTTCTCTGCACACTGGAGATTCTGTGTTTCCTGGGTCGCACTGGCATTGTCTCTATTGCAGGGACTTTCCTTAGGTAAAAGAGCGCGTACTTCAATAATTAGGAGGAAGAAGGGAAGAGGAGGGCTTCCGAGCCCGACCCCCTGGAGATCATAATGTGCCTCCTGCCTTCCGTCTGGCATATTGGTAGCGTATTTCGCGAGGAAAGTCCCCGAAAATACTGCATGTTTGATTGGCTTGATCATCTTTAGTTGCTGGACGAAACTGGGAAGCAAATCCATAATAATGGTTCGCATAGGAAAGACAGCGTTTGTAGGTGGTCAGTTAGCACGTCTTCCAAACCATGCTTCCTGGGCTAGTAGCGTATGGTTTCCGTATGAATAATCCAATTTTTGCCAAATTTCATTCATTATTAATTTCATTATTATCTTTTAATACATTTCAGTCCCATAATTCATTTGGGTACTAGATGTAAGCATGTAGACTTTTCATCACTTCCTAGTTTTCTACTCAATCTTATTTTGTTTCAACAGTTTTGGGAAGGTGTGTCAGTTGTTGCAATTACTAAAATGGCTTAGTTCAGCCATAAATCACTCAGATCCAGGGTGGATTTGCTTTAAATCAAGTCGATTTAAATCATGATTTAAATCACTAGTAAAAAGGCTTGATTTAAATCAACTCAATTTAAATCTTAATTTTTAAAGAGCAACTGTCATCTCTCTCCCACAGCAGCTCCTCCTCTGACACGCTGTTGACTCCTAGACAGTCCCATTCTGGGATGGCTGGAGATGCAGCAGTGACACAAGTAAGGGACTTGGCAGGCAGCAGATGAGCGGATGCCCACTAACAGGCACTGCCATGATGGATCTGAAATGACAGGTGCTCTTTAAATGTAAGGACTCATTCTTACTGGTAGTTAAAATCTTTAATATTATTATTTGCAAACAAAATGAAGGTTTCCTATTTAGCTTTCGGAGCTAAATTGAAATTATTCTGCTAAATTTACAACTCATTGAAAGAGTTGTAAATTTAGCAGAATATACAGCCTCATGCTACATAACTAAGCTCCATTTCATGCTGAATAAACTAAATTGTTAATGTATTTTAAATAGAAAATAGATTTTACTCCAAAAGCTTTTTATTAAAATAAATTTGATAAAAAAAATCCAATTTAAATTTAAAAATATCTGATTTTTATCTACTCTGTTCAGATCTATCATTAGATCTGTATACAAATTTCTGTCTGCTACATTATGAACTTGCAAACGGTTTTCTGATACTTTTCTCTTGTAATTTTCCAAAAGGATATGAAAGTAAAACAAAACTAAAGAATCAAGTTATTTGGAATTATGATTATTTTGTATTAGACAAATAAAAGTAACATTTATTTCAAGATTCAAGACCTTTCAAACAAAGGATCCTAAAATGTATTTGAGCAAATAAACTAGTTGAGAGAACAAAATAAATGGATTTTATTTTTTATCTGAGAAAGAATATTGTATTAGAATGTATCCGTTTTCCAGATTTTATAATTGAAAACAGTTCTAGAAAAACAATAAATGTTTAGAATTACTGTAATTTATTATATTTTTATTTATTTAAATATTTATGGTTGTATGACTCCATCTTGTGGCTATACATTGTAGTTATTTTCTATTCAGAAAAGTGTACTATAGTTTAAAACTTAGAAATAAGACACGTGGGATGAAATTTACCTTCAACTGAACAGCAAAATCCAAATGATGAAAAAAGGTTAGTTAGTTGTATAGAATTCTATTTTCTGGGTGGATATTCAAAACTAAATCCAAAAGCAGTACTACAAATATTGGTATTTATTTTGTTAATCTAAAAAAGGGAATATATGGTTCATAGGCAAACTGAAGCAAAAGATTGTAAAGTAGAATTTATACCCTTTTTGAGCTTCAGATTGAAATAATGCTAGCTTTAGAAATGCACAATAAAGATCCAGCGCTATAGTTAAACCTTGCTTAATGAAAAACACATATTCGTGGCTAGATTAGGCCACATTTTGAGCTGTCTTGCCTTTTCTCTGTGTCTGAAAATTGCATAGCTGGTCAACCTTAGGATAATACACATAATCAAGTTTGGATGATGCACAGATTTGTGAATCATAAGAAATCTATGATGAACCATAGATAAAAATTTGATAATATTGCTTTTTTAAATCATAATTCAAGCTGTATCATGTATTTGTATATCACATTTTATACAACTATGCTCTGATTTAGCACACGTTAATTATGTATTGGTTTGACTAAAATTTTAAATAAAAGTTATGTAGTTTATACTTGAAAAACATGAATCTTCTGAATAGGCATTTATAGGACTGTATAAAGTAATACTTAAACTTTTCTGTAATTTCATTTTCTTTATTAAACGTTTCTTGTAATTATTTCAATTGTTTCATACTTATAATAGCCAATTTGTCATTTTTAGCCTCTTTTACTATCTTCAGAATCTTCAAGCATCTTGACTTCATAAAATCTTATAATCTTCATATAATGTTCAAATGTTTAACCTTTAGATTATTAGACTCTTACACAACTGCAAATCATTTGCATTATTCTCATGTTGGTGACCTAAATTACATTATCTAATAATCTAAAGCTTAAACATTTGGAAGTATAATTATCATTTTATGAAGTAAAGAATAATCAGAGGAGATTCTGATGTTTGAAGATTCTGGAGATAGTGAAAAAGGCCAAGAGAAGACAACTGATTATCACAAGCATGAACTTGCTACAACTGTAATAATTACCATATTTTTCACACTACAAGACTGCTCCGGACTATAAGTTGCACATTAGCTTTAGAGGAGGAAAAGAAAAGAAAAAATCTACCTCTGCCTCCCAGCGTGTCCATCCAGTATTCATCTGGCTAGCATCCTTACAGCAGACAGCCTGATCAGCACATTATTGCAGCCTCTGCACGTGGCTCGTCAGGGCTCCACTCCATTGTGCCCAACACCAGTCAACTGAACTGAGCTGCCATGGCGTCGGAGCAACACTGGAGTCTTCACTGCTGAACAGCTAATTGGTGGTTGGATCAGCCTCCCAGAATACCACCTATCAGCTGTTTTAGGTGGTGGAGATTGTTTTAGTTTTGTTTTAGTGGAGATTGTTTTAAATTGTTTTAGTTTTCTTGGCAGAATACTGGTGTCAGTTGCCATTTTCTTCAGTGGGTTTATTTAGTTTGAATTGTGTTCAATAATCATCAGTGAAATAAAAAAGTAATATTTCATTTACAGAAATATGCATTAAGTTGAAGTAGGATTGTGAAGGAACATTTGATGGGATCTTATGGTTGAATAGAGAAGATATTTAGAAATGGAAATGCTCTTTATAGTTTTTGGTAAAGGTTTCCCCTGTCTGGCTATTTCTGGATGCATGGCAAGGCTCATTTCCATTTCTTAGCCAAGGGAGCCAGCATTGTCCAAAGACATTTCTGTGGTCAGCATGACTACATGCTGAGATGCATGGAATACTGTTATCTTCCCACTGAAGTGGCAAGTATTTATTTCTTGCATTTGCATGCTTTAAAATTAATTGGTGGGCAGGAACCAGGGCAAGTAACGGGAGTTCATCCCATTGTGCGGGACTTGGGTCTCGAATCTGGGCCGTCAGATTTCCACCTGACAAACTCAGTGTCTTTAAGTCGATAGAAATTCTCAGCCATGGACTGAGAATCTCCATAGACATTTAGTCATGCGCTCAGAGATGAACAAGCTTCTTGGATAAGAAGTGAAATGTTTTCAAAGAAGAAAACAGAAAGTCCAATTGCCTCTGGAAAAAAAAAAAAGCAGCTTTGGATCTCTTAAATCCCCCATTCCTTAGATATTCCAGGACATTCAAATAACTTAAATGTTACAATACTCATAGACAAAGAAAGGGAGGGTTTGCATGTGTGTTACTTTCCCCCAGAGTCCAATAATCGCAAGTCCAGTATTTATTTGCATTTTATTCTATTCTTCCTCCAAAGGGAGGGCGGGGGGGGGGGGGGAAGGAATACTGCATTTTCTCTTTAATTAATAATTTTCAAAAATCCATTGAAAAATAATATGTGAAATAATGGCAGTGTATTTCTGACTGGCAGCATTAGCCACTCTTTTTTTAAGTTATTTGAATGTCTTGGAATATCTAGGAATGGGGGATTTAAGAGATGTGTATCGTCTTATTCTACGGGCAAACTACAGGAACAGGGCAAGGTAAGTATCGTATTTACGCAAACCATGCCACAGACCACCATGTCTGTGCAGAAGCCAAAACTATATTTGAGGATTACCCTCACCCTTGTACTGTCTGAAAAAGAGATGCCAAAATACCACACCAAGCACACAAGGGAGAGCTGAAGCCGGACTCCACCACCAGTCAGTGGTTGGGCTGCAAGCAAAACCTTGGGAAGAAGGTAGGAGAAAGGCAGGCTGTTTAGCTCGCAATTTTATGGACAGCAATCTCCGCATTCCCCCTTGAAGCATACCTTCCCCCTGGAAGATGCTAGTGGATGGCAAGGGGCACAAAGATCCCCCTGACCTCCCTTTGAAACCAGTTAAGCAATTGAGTAAACTGCGAGTTCCCTTAGTTGGCAGCCTAAGCGGAGCGGCCTGGAACTGCCCATTGCAGGTGATAGGTGGAATCAGCTTCTTTAGTGACCCTCCTGCTACCCATTGCATCCAAATGGTTGCAGTGGGGAATTGGGGGCAGGGGGGAAATAGGGATATCTGAGGGGATGAAGAAGAGCGGCTGGCTCGGGAAGCGGAAATGCAGCGGGAATCTTGAAATCGTCCGATATTTACTCTGACAATGGTATACGTATGAGATTGAGTTTGCAGTTGGGAACCCGATGCGTAGCCATGCCTCACCACGAGGCCGCTTCTATCGGCTGATAGAAGCGGCTGGTGACTGCCTTGGGGCGCTTCTATTGGCTGATAGAAGTGGCCTTGTGAAGTGTGGCTGCCCGCAGGGCGCTCCACAAGGCCACTTTATTGGCTGATAGAAGCGCCCCAAGGGCAGAGTCACCAGCCGCTTCTAGCGGCCGATAAAAGCAGCCTCATGGAGCGCCCTGTGGGCAGCCACAGCTCACCACAAGCCCACTTCTATCAATAGAAGTGGTCTTGTGAGGTGTGGCTGCCCGCAGGGCGGTCTGTGAGGCCACTTCTATCGGCCGATAGAAGTGGCTGGTGACTCTGCCCTTGGGGTGCTTCTGTCAGCCAATAGAAGCGGTCTTGTGAGGTGAGTGTGTGACGCTCTAGGTGAGGATGTGCGTGGGGGGAAGAAATTAAGACATCCCACAAAAGACGGCCTAGCTCTTTTGGGGGCTCAAAAATAAAAAAGGCCCGGTCTTATTTTGTGAGAAAGACGGTAGTTCTCGACTTATAATAGTTCATTTACTGACAGTTACAAAGGCACTGAAAAATGACTTATGACTATTTTTCAGAGTTATGACCTTTGCAGCATCCCCATGGTCAAAAGATCAAAATTCAGATGCCTGGCAACTGGTCCATATTTATGATCCTTGCTCTGTTTCAAGGTCATGTGATCACTATTTTGTGACCTGACAAGCAAAATCAATGGGAAAGCCAGATTAACTTAACAACCAGTTTATTAACCTATCAACTGCAGTGATTCACTTAACTGGCAAGGAATGAGGCAAAACTAACTTAACAAATGTCTCACTTAACAGAAATTTTTGACCCAATTTTGGTTGTAAGTCAAGGACTAACTGTAATACTTTGGATACGCCTTAGATTGCTTGTGAAATTTAATGATGGCTTGTCACCAAAACATGGCAACAGAGCAGCTGATTGGCAGTTTTTATACCCAAAATAACTTTTGTTCCCTGTTTCACTCAACTTGTTACTCAGCTTTTCATTTAATTCTGATTCCATTCTTCCTGCACAATGACATTTGGAAACCATGACTGCCAATAGCAGATACTCTGATATTTAGAGGCAAAGTGCTTTTTCTCTTTGTTCTCAAAGTTAGTAGATCTCTTAAAGGAAACCTGAACTTATCAAACTGAATTAGATGTTCTTAATGGTCTTAAAATTAGTACTATTAATATTTCCAGCTAATTAAGTGAAATAAATAACATGAATTGATTAAAAATCGATGAAACTTGAATAGGAAATTTAAATTTAAATGAACGTGCTTCTGAAATTAATGAGAGTGCTAAGAAATCAAGTGTCAAATTAATGTATCAGTCTTATATTTTTCAGAGAGATTAATAAATAAATAAGTATTCTGCAGATTAATAAATTTAATAATAATAAATAATAAGAATGTTGAAAATTTGGATATGTTTTGCTCTAGTTCTATCTCTTTGTCTAGATTGGCCACAAGATGCCACACAAGATCATACATAGAAGGTTGTTCAAAAACTTCCAATTTATGTTTGATTTATGAAAATTTTGTCTTTTTCAAAAAAAGAACTATAATCAAAATAAGAAAATTATTCAGGATATTACTGCTTGATACCAAATATTAAACCAGTATTTTCTGATTTGAATATAGAATGAAATTCTTACCCTGTGCAAGTCTGGTTTTTAACATCAAATCTAGCATGATGGGAACAGCAAAGGAGAATGTAATATTTCAGCTTTTATCCAAAGCATCTTGCAATATATTTTTAAATATTTTGGATTATTGCTTGACTATGGCCCTTCATTCTCTATTATTGAAATTGTGTGTGAAGAGGCTGAGGTTGCTTTGATCTGTTATTTTTTTTCTGATTACTCAGTAGTCATTTCTGTCTAGTTATTTTTCTAAGATTTGAATTTATGCTATTTTTTCCTCTCTTTTAACAGTTCATTCTTCTACCAGAATAGAACATCACCCACCGAAAGTTGTAGGATCAACAAATTTACCAGGTATATAGTAAATGCTATGCATTCATTCAAAGAAATTTGAAATTTTGGAGAGGTTTTCAGCATTGGCTCTATTCGTTAATAGTTTGCCTTTAGATGAAATACACAGTTTATGCCTCAGGAATGTTAATGCCATTCCTTTACTCTTTTTCATTACTTTCTATGAGAAAAAACAAATCAAGAAAACACAGGTCCTATTAAACTGAAATCAACAGACTGGTTAATGGTTAAACTAAAGATGTTACCATATAAAATCCAGATTTATAGTTGGTTTCTTTTCACTGTTTTTTTGAAACTCATTTACCATAATTAATACAGTTTAGTTCATTGATTGCCATTTAGATGTACAGGTAATCCTCGACTTACAACCACAATTGAGCCCAAAATTTTTATTGCTAAGCAAGACAGTTAAGTGAATTTTGCCCCTTTTTGTGATCTTTCTTATCACAGTTGTTAAATGAATCACTGTTATTTAATTAGTAACATGGTTATTAAGTGACTCTGGCTTCCCTATTGACTTTGCTTATCACAACATTGCAAAAAGGTGTTCACATGACCCCTGGATATTGCAACTGTCATAAATATGAGCCAGTTGCCAAGCATATGCATTTTGATCATGTGACCATAGGGATATTCAATGATTGTAAGTGTGAAAAATGATCATTAGTCACTTTTTCTAGTGTCGTAACTTTGGTCACTAAATGAATGGTTGTACATTGAGGACTACCTGTAATAAGAAACAGACTCCAAAAATAAATAAATAAAGAGGAGCAGTTGCACTGTATGTTAGAATAGATACATACAATACCGAGGATGAAAGACTTCTTGAATGTATTTGGTGAATATTAGAAGGAAAAACATTGCTATAGGTAAAACAGAGGAAATAGATGAATTTTTGGTTAATCAGATAGATAGGTGAATAGGAAATACACCATATAGTAGTGACATTAATTGGGAGATAAATTCTGTAGCAAGTGGGAGATCAAACAGGTTCCTGATGAGCCTAGCTGATAACTTCATCATCCAAATGGCAGAGGAAGAAACTGGAAGATCAGTTACACTGAACTTAATCCTTACTAATAGGGATGAAATGACGATAAAATCTGTAGGAACTTTAGGAGTAGAGTGACCATGTTATACTAGAATTCAACATAATGCAGGCATAGTTGTTGAAAAAGATCAAAGGAGTATTTTAGATTTAAAGAGAGCTGACTTCAGCAAGCTAAGAGATTAGAAAGGATTCCATAGATCGAAATCCTAAAGGGAAAAGCAATTCAACATTGGGAAACACAGAAAGATGAAATTAAAAAACCCAATCAAACAAAGTATAAGAGACCAGATGAAACCAGCGTGGTTCAACAAGGAGCTCTCTGACAAACTTAAGTACAAAAAGAAGTATAAAAATGGAAAGAGGAGCTCATACTAAGAAAAGAATACCAATAAATAGCCTGAATCTGCAAGGGTGGAGTCAGGAAAGCTAAGACTCAGAATGAAGTAAAACTTGCAACAAATGCCAAAAACAATAACAAAAACAACAAAGTTTATTTTAATAGGTAAGGAAGAACTAAGAAAAAAGTCAAAGAAATGATCAATCCACTAATAGGAAAAGATGGCAAAATGGTGACAGACAGCAGGGGGAAAGTGGAACTGCTTAATTCCTTCTCTGAATCAGTTTTCATGCAAAAAGAAAAACTTAGCCCAATCTATCAAAAGTAGCACCGTGGGAGACAGAACAGGAATGCAGATCAAAATAGGGAAAAGTTAGTAAGAGAATATCTTACCTATCTACTTTAAAATGAGTTTAAAATACTAGGACTAGATGGTTTACATCCCAGGATTCTGAAAAAGCCAGATGATGTGCTCTCCAAACTACTGAATTAAACCTTTTAGAGGTCCTGGAGGGGAACTGCCACATATTGGAAAAGAGCTGATGTGCAATTTTCAAAAGGGAAAAAAGTGAAACCAGGAAACTACAGACAAATCAGCTTAACATTAATACCTGGGAAAACTCTGGAAAGGATAATCAAGCAATAGATCTGCAAACACCTAGTAGTGGCAGATTTGTGAGCACCTACAAATGAAAAAGATGATTACTAGAAACCAGTCTGGGTTTGTTAAAAACAGATTGTGCTTTATTGTCTTCTTTGATAAATTAACTAAATTAGTAGATCAAGAAAATGATGTGGATATAATGTACTATACTTAGACTTCAATAAGGCATTTGACAAAGAAGAGCACAAGTTACTACTTGGCAAGATAAAAACAACGTGGGATAGATCACAGTCCACCTCTCGGTAAGATAGAACAATGTGGGGTAGATAGTACCACCACCAGATGGATTTGTGGTTGACCAACTGCATTTGTCATGTAGTCTTCAGTGAAGTTGCATTGACTGTATATGGAGGGAAGTGTGTATGGGGGCTACATCAGATTTTATTTTGGGGCCAGTGCTCTTCAACATCTTAATAAATGATTTAGAAATGGGAATAGAGGAGCTCATTAAATTTGCAGATGACACCAAAGTAGAGGTAATTGCTATCACCATGGAAAAAAAACTCACAATTTAGAAGGATCTTGACAGACTTGAGCACTGGGTCCTATCCAATAGGATGCAGTTCAGTGATGGGAAAAGTAAGGTTCCGCAGGAAAAATCAAATGCACAGGTGCAGAATAGACAGTACTTGGCTCTACAGCAATAACTGTGAGAGGGCTCTAGATGTCCTCATGAACAACCACCTAAGTATGAGCCAGCGGTATGCTGCAGCTGTTAAAAAAGCTAAAGCGATCTTAGGCTGCATCAGTAGAACAGTAATTAAAATCATAGTGCTGCTGTATATTGTAGTGAAGCCATGCTTAGAATACTGCATCCAGTTCTGGTCTCCATGACACGCACACTCACTCACACAAAACTGCTGAAACCCTATAAAAAGTGCAGAGAGAAGTAACAAAAATGATAGGGAGTTAAACCATACAATGAACAGTTGAGGGAACTACCGTGTTTCTCATATAATAAGGCCGGGTCTTTTTTTTTTTTTTTTTTGAGCCCCGAAAAAATGGCTAGGCCGTCTTTTTGGGGGTGACTTAATTCCCCCCCCCCCGCATCTTTGGGCAGGCGGGGATGGCTTGGATGTTGACCTCGGCGTTGGTGGGGCACTTCGTATCGGGGTCAACACAGGCAGCACCATATCCGGGTGTGCAACAAAAGTACTTCCTAATGGCAAGCCCCCCCCCCCACCATTCCCCCCATTTCGCATGTTTTAGTATAGGCCTTAATTTGGGGGGGAGGGGCTTAATTTCATTTCATGCCTATAAAACATGCTGGGACTTCCTATTGGGGGAGGCCATATTGTTGGAGAAACAGGGTAGATCTGTCTGGTCTAATAAAGAGAAGAATTAGGGGTGACATGATAGCTGTCTTCCAATATTTGAGGGGCAGTCGTAGAGAAGAGGGAGTTGACTTATTCTCCAAAGCACCTGAGGGCAGGGCAAGAAATAATGAGCAGAAACTAATGAAAGAGAGATCCAATCTGGAACTAAGACATTTCCTGTCAGAAAAATTAATGGAACAGCTTGCCTCCTGAAGTTGTGGGTGTTTCGCTGGAGGTTTTCAAGAAAGGATTGGACAACCATTTATTTGTGATGATATAAGGAATCCTGTCCTGGGCAGGGAGTTGGACTAAAAGACCCCCAAGGTCCCTTCCAGCCTGTTTCTAAGCAATCTATTACTGAAAATGTGAATCCTGGCTTGTCTACCAATCTTACAAAGAATGGAATGTGAGCAAAGGACATAATCTTTATTTTTTAAGGTAACATTTAATTATTGAGATGCCATAACTAAAGATATAACTTTGTTAGTCATAACAAAAGCATCCTATATCTGAAAGTCTAAACATATATATTCTGCCATGTATGCCGATTAAATCTCTTTCATGTAATCCTGAGCTACTTACAAGCAAGTCTCCTTGAAATTAATTAGATTTTCTTCTGCGTAAATACATAAATCTTGAAGATTGCACGGCTTTACTTGGATAATTGTTTTTTTAAATGCATTTTATTTTTAATGTACTTTCTTTTAACAAATATTAATTAAATTATATTTTCAGTCAAAGTTTATGTCAGGCAGCATCATAACAGTCCGCATATTCTGTGTTTAACAAATCATCTGAGAAATTTAGAATTGATCGACCCAATATTTGAATGGCATGGACCAAGTGGTGATTTGGTTACAGGTATTTTCCTCCAGTATTGCTTAATAATGTTTTCCGGTTTTTCATCTAAAACAAGAACAGAATGTCAATTTATATGTACACTCTTGTATTAAACTAAATCTAAAGGGTTTAATTTAATTTTAGTTATAATTAAGCATAGATAAACCAAACTAATTGTTTTTAACAATCACGGGTAGTTCTTGACTTACAAGCATTCATTTAGTGACCATTCAAAGTCATGACAATATTGAATGAATGATGGTTACAACCAATTCTTGGAATTGTGGCCATCTGGGCATTCATGGTCTTGGGATCATGATCTGGGTACTCGGCAATTGAACTTACAATCTTAGCTGAAGTTCCCCCTCAACCATGTGATTGTCATTTGTAACCTTCCTTGTCAGTTTCCCCAGAAAGTCAGTGAGGAAGTCTTCCCCACCTGCACACTGTTCCCCAGTCTCTCTATATTTATTTATTTAGTTTGTTTGTTTGTTTGTTTGTCAAACATGTACAAGATAGCAGGTATAAACATAAACATGAACAAAGGAAATAAATACAGATAAATGGGGACAGTAAGATAGGGACGGTAGGCATGCTGGTGCGCTTATGAATGCCCCCTTTACGGACCTCTTAGCAATGGGGTGACATCCACCGTAGACAGTTTGAGGTGGAAGTTATGAGGGTTTGAGGCTGTAACAACGGAGCATTCAAGCCATTGACCACTCTGTTGCTGAAGTTGTATTTTCTGCAATCAAGTTTGAAGCTGCTTATATTGAGTTTGTATCAATTGTTTGC